AGTGTTGTGGAAAACTTCTTTATGATTCATTTGAGACATATTAAACTTTTTAAAGATCTGTAAATCATGAGTTTGAGCGCAAATTCGACGTTCAAAACTCCTACTTTGGGGGTGGATACGTTTTCAGAATTAGTTTTTTTAAATTATTAAATAACAACAACGAAAAATAAAGTAAAAAGTATACAATAATTCAACTACCTTACATAGCCGGTCACTCCCTTTAAAGAACACTAGATCAGCCATTTTTAAAGGTTTTATATTTTGTTTTCCAAATTTTCCAATAAAATTAATATTAAAGGGACTGTAAGCGTGATTAATTAATGACCTTCCAATTAAGTAAAGAGGAACAGCCCTGATTCACAACGATACCCTTTAAACCTTTGACTGATCAACGATGTCGGACATATCCCTGTCAATCTACTGGAACGCTATAAATTGCTAAACACCTTGTTAGCAAGCTGTTCCATATTTAAAAAACATCAATATTACTTTCTAAAAATAAAATAAAAATTTACTTTTGAATGTTTAAAACCGTTGTTAACGTAAACCAACTGATCTATTTTCGAGTTACGCAAGTAGCAGACCAACTGTTTAAGTTCAAACTGTACACAGCGTACAGTTGCGTTTTAGAGGAACTCAAGCGGGTTTCGATATGTTTAAGCAAGGAGACCTCTCTACTCGATAAACAGTTAAAGTTTTCAAGGGTACCATTGTGAATCGGAAATTGCCCTCTATGCATGTTATGTTCACATGAAATAACGCATACAGTCTCTTTAAATGTTTAGAAAATTGTTTCATCACATTTCATTTAAAGCTGGCAAGCTGATAATGCTTGATCCTCTCTTTTTCTTAATATCGAGACTAACCTAATCTTGTGCTTGTATCTTGAAAAGTGTATAAAATTCAACCAATCAGAGTCGCCATTTAAGATTAATATACAGAAACGGAAGGGACTGTCTAATTAAAAAAAACCGGTTTTTGATTTTTCTCTGCTATATCCAAGAAAGAACGGTTTAAGAAGAAAATCAAAAGCGTGTCAATTGGATACTCAGATTAAGTAATAGGGATTAAGGATAACTCGTTCTAAAGTTTTCAGCTCAGAGCTCACAACTTTTGAATCTTGTGAAAAACTGATTTAAGTCAAATAAAATAAGTTTTAGTTTATTTATTCAAAAGCCGGGACATTTCAAATTTCATTAATTAAAAATCAAAAAAACCCAAAAATTTAAATTGAAAAATGCCAGTTCAGCTCAGAGTTTAAAAAGATTGAGAGTTAAACTCTACTTCATTTAAAAGTTTCCATCCCAGTTAAAACTTTGGAAAAAGTAAATAACATATTTTAGAAGTTTAATAGTTATGAAAATGCTAAAAATAATCACAAAGTTTTAATAAATTAATTTTGGTAAAAAAGAACTTTATCAATTTTGATTTATTGTATTTTCTCTCAGGACAGTGGACAAACGTAGGAGGGGCAGTAGATATGAAGGTAATATCATAATGATGAAGATGATGATGATGATGATGATGATGATGATGATGATGATGATGATATTTAGATCAAATATGATAATAATGAGCATGATAATGATGATAATGATTATGTTGATGATTAAGATAAGGTCAAGTATGATAATGATGATGATGATGATGATATTAAGGTAAAGTATGATGATAATGATGAAGATGATGATGATGATGATGATGATGATGATATTAAGGTCAAGTATGATTATGATGATGATGTTGATATTAAGGTCAAGTATGATGATGATGATGATGATGATATTTAGGTCAAATATGATAATAATGATGATGATGATGATGATGATGATGATGATGATATTAAGGTTAAGTTTGATAATGATGATGATGATAATGATATTAAGGTCAAGTATTATGATGGTTATGATGATAATGATGATATTAAGGTCAGGTATGATGGTGATGATGATGATGTTATTAAGGTCAAGTATGATGATGATGATGATGATGATGGTATTAAGGTCAAGTATGATGATGATGATGATGATGATGTTATTAAGGTCAAGTATGATAATGATTATGATGATATTAAGGTCAAGTATTATGATGATGATATTAAGGTCAGATATGATGATGATGATGATATTAAGGTCAGGTATGATAATGATGATGATGATGATATTAAGGTCAAGTATTATGATGATGATGAAGATGATGATGATGATGATGATGATGATGATGATGA